CACCTCTTGGCTTCTACAAAAAATCGTTCTACATCGCCGCTGGAGACCCCCCGGTGCATCGCGGCTGGCTGCTCGCCGAGCCTCGATTGGCCTACTTCTCCGCGCTCGTTTCCACTTGTGACGCCAGGCCCAAACGAGCGCAGCGCATCTACCTAGTCTTCCATCACATCTTAGCTTGCAGCAGACTGTGGAGTGACCCTGCTTTCTATATGCACCCCCCCCCCAATGCTCATGCGTGTTTTGCATCACCATACCTTCTCTCTGCCCCCCAGCACCTTTACTTGCGCCTCCCCCTCAAACCCAATCAAACCTGCACATGAGGGTTCCCCGCCGATGCAGCACGCCGTGGAGGCGTTCTGCCCTACCACCTACCTCATCTCTTGCTCACACCCTCTACTGGCCCCACTGTCTGCGCCACACCCTCAATGTCTCTAACGCTTACCCCCTCCCTGCCCCCTCCTCACATTGGGGATTCCACGTAGCCGATGCAGCACGCCGTGGAGTCACCATGTGTTCTGCCCTACCACCACCTACCTCGTCTCTTGCCTGCACTTTTGTCTCCCACTTCATCATCCTCTTGCCTGCACCCTCTACTTCTACCGTGGAATCACCATGCCCTCTGTCTGCCCCACACCCTTCAATATCTCAAATGCTTACCCCTTCCCACGCCGTGGAGTCACCATGTGTTCTGCCCTACCACCTGCCTCGTCTCTTGCCTGCACCCTATACTGGCGCCATGTCCCCCCACATAGCGACCTCTACTTCTACCCCGTCTACACTGCCACGGCCCCGCCTCCAGCCCCTTAACATCCACATGGGGGTTCCACGTAGCCGATGCAGCACACCGTGGAATCACCATGCCCTCTGTCTGCCCCACACCCTTTAATATCTCTAACGCTTACCCCATCCCTGCCCCCTCCTCACATTGGGGATTCCACGTAGCCGATGCAGCACTCCGTGGAATCACCATGTGTTCTGCCCTACCACCTCCCTCATCTCTTGCCTGCACCCTATACTGGCGCCATGTCCCACTGCCTGCCCCCTCCTCACATTGGGGACGCCACATAGCCGATGCAGCACACCTGCCCTACTTCATCTCTTGCCTGCACCATGTCCCACTGCCACCTCAAGTAAACCTCTCCACCCCGTCTACACTGCCATGGCCCCGTCCCTGCTGCGTCCTCCAGCCCCTTAACATCCACATGGGGGTTCCACGTAGCCGATGCAGCACACCGTGGAGTCACCATGCCCTCTGTCTGCCCCACCCCCTTTAATATCTCTAACGCTTACCCCATCCCTGCCCCCTCCTCACATTGGGAATTCCACGTAGCCGATGCAGCGTGCCGTGGAGTCACCATGTGTTCTGCCCTACCACCTACTTCATCTCTTGCCTGCACCCTATACTGGCGCCATGTCCCACTGCCACCCCGAGTAAACCTCCACGCAGGGACCATAGGGCCTCCGTTCCTTGTGTCTCCCACTTCCCCTTTTGCCTGCACCCTCTACTTCTACCCCGTCTACACTGCCATGGGTCGTTTCTGTTGCGTCGTCCTCCAGCCCCTTAAACATCCACTGCGTCCTCCCGCCCCTTCACATCCACATGGGGGTTCCACGTAGCCGATGCAGCACACCGTGGAATCACCATGCCCTCTGTCTGCCCCACACCCTTTAATATCTCTAATGTTTACCCCCTCTCTTCCCCCTCCTCACATTGGGATTCCACGTAGCCGATGCAGCGCGCCGTGGAGTCACCATGTGTTCTGCCCTACCACCTACCTCGTCTCTTGCCTGCACCCTATACTGGCGCCAGGTCCCTCCACATAGCGACCAGACAAACTCCCTTCCATTTTGTCTCCCACTTCATCCCTCTTGCCTCCGCCCTCTACTTCTACCCCATCTACACTGCCACAACCCCGTCCCTGCTGCGTCCTCCAGCCCCTTGACATCCACATGGGGGTTCCACGTAGCCGATGCAGCACACCGTGGAGT